TCTCAAATTACTTATTTATTTGTAATCAATTAAGTGTTATTATCCAGTAAAGATGTTTATAATTAAAAACAATATTCAGGCCTGTGTTGTGACCCTAAAAAAGCATCAAATCTTCCCACGTGAGTCGTAATAGCCGACTAAGGAATCAAAATACTGGAGGGTGGGCTGCAGCATCTTTCCGGGTATTATACTACCATATCATAGCAAATGTTGTGATAGGGATAGAGACATGCGATTTTTGGTTTTACAAAGATAATACGTTAGAGAATAATACAAAGTAATAAAAACTACCTGTTATAGGGGCATTTTTTAGAGAAATTTATCAAATAACCAAAAAAACACGAATTTCAAAGCAGAATTTTTTCAAATAGTATCATTTTTTATTATTTGTTGGCCTTTTTTGTGTATTTTATGTATTTTTTTAGTATCGCCTGTTATTTAGCATTATTACTGTTTTTATTTTATCAGGATATACCACTTAGTTTAAAAGTTATTACGTTTTCTTTACAATAAGTAATTGGAAGAAAAAAAAATCTATAAAAAATTAAAAAAAAATCTCAAAAATTTTTTGACCTCTTTTTTGTCGATAAAAATAGGTCTAGTTTCATCTATTTTCATATGTACACTTTAACGTGACTCACATTGTATATTTAGATTACAAATGAAGAGAGCATCTGCAAACGTAAATGATAGAGTCCTGCTTATAAAACCATTGGCTATAAAACCTTAAAACTTGTTTAGCGATAGTAAAAACAAGAATCAGATTTATGACCTATTCAACTTTACCTTTTTCGAATTACTTAAATCAGTTAAATTGTAATTAGAGTAGAAGTACTAATAAGTATTGTTCTGAAGAGATTAGGTTTAATGAAACACACAACTTGGAAATAAATCAAATTAACATTGAAAGATTTCTCAGGATAAAAGAGCTCAGTTTCTTGCTCGAGTAAGGTTTCAGCAACACTTGTATAGTCTATGCCAATAGAAACTGGCAATTTCAATAAAGCCAAAGTATGTACATTGATACCTAGCGTCTGCACAGAATGTCCCAAAACTCAAAGTCAAGCGGGCACCGGGCGACTGGTTAGTATAAGGCAGCTCTGAGAAAATAAAAATAAAACTTTTGCAAACAATATTTTTTTAAGCCGCCATTTTTTTTTAAATCACATTACAAAAAAGGTCATGAAAAGCTTGTAACCAATTTTTTCTTAGAGCTGTCTTGGGCTAGCATGTCATTCGGTGCCCGCTTGACGTTGAGTTTTGGGACATCCTGTGAAACTATAGTCTTTTTCACGTAAGATGATCCGTATGACACTTCAAGGTTATCCATATTACGCATACTACATATGCAGAATATTTTTGAAAAAATATTTGTATTTTATTAGCAATATAATAAAAAAAAAAAACTACCTTGTCTCGAAATATATAGTAAAATCTGAGTCTATTGATTATATTTTAATTAAATACGATGTAAAAATATTATTTATTTCATGTGCGCAATGTGTGAAACGGAATAGATTTAGTGCTGGGGTATTTCTTGTATAAAATCGATTATTTCCGCGGTTCATTAATCGATTGCAGTGAATACTTAGTTATTAAAAACATCACAAAAATCAACTATATTTTTCGATTATTGACTTTAATAAACGCATTAAAAATAAATTAATGGTTTTTAATTTAAAGAAACAGAACCAGTACTTTTTAGGAATCGTTTTTTTGAACATGAACCATGAAATTTGAATATTATCAATAAAAAATTGTTACAATAATATTTGTAATTGTAAAAAACATGTTTTTTGTTAAATAACACCTTTAAAAAATATTTCTCTAAAAGTAGGTTTTACTAACTCTTCGAAAAAAATCGATAGATAAATCGCTATGGTTTAGTTATGTGACATCTCTAAATCTTTCAAACTCGAAACGTCATACGGATCATCTTAGGTGAAAAAGACTATAGTGATTTACGAAAACTTATCACGTTGTTGCTCAACTTGTGGTGAACCCTCTCGTAATACAAGCATATTTAATTTACTACAAGGGATAAAGAGACTATTAGTAATTTGTGCAATCACATTATTGTAACGCTGAGTTGCACCATCTTACTCGACTTTAACAAACGTCAAAAATCTGTCAAACTCCATACAAAAACACCGGTTATTGTTAGTTACTGTTAAATTAAGATGGTGCAATCCAGTCTTAGATAGAATTTGAAGCAATTTTCTCTCTTTGAGTCACAATTCATTTACAAAATTGCCAGTTTCTGTTGGCGCAGAGTATAGATGCGTATATCTAATTAACTTAGGGCTCGTCAAGGGAATCAGATGCTCAGAGCAATTTTCTTGAAGTCGAATTAGTATCTCGAGATTTAACAAATACGATATGACTGTAAGAATTAACGAAGACTTGATTGGGGAGTGATTACACGAATAACTTTTATTTTCTTATCTCTTTCTGTTAATTGGACAAAAAAAAAGTTTTTCTTCTAAAAAAATACCTACTCTCTACTAGAGACAATTCACAAAAGACGTCAAAACGCGATTCTCCCATAGATTTGGTATGGCAATAGAATAAAAATTTCTATTGATTGCCTATTCAACTAATATAATTTAAAAACTATCTTTTATAGAGGCCCCTTGGAATAAATTCTATCTTATAATAAATAATGTGTCTAGAAAATGTTCAAACTGAAACTAAAGCAACCGGGATCTGTAAGTGGACTTTCTTGTTTCTAACGAATTAATACCATGGATTTCTCGTATTGACGGAGGAAGAAAGCAGCCATTTTAGGTCACTATTTTATTGGTTAACTGTTGCGAGAATTGTTTCGTTCGATTTCCAGGTGGGAGCGAAACATACTTAATTAATTTAAATAGAAGTAAAATTAAATATTCTTTCATCACTACATTACTAACATACCTACTATAAAAAAAAAACAAAGTTTACGCTGTCTGTCCCTATGTAACTTTAATACTACGCAACTGATTTTGATGCGTTTTTTAGGGTTCCGTACCTCAAAAGGAAAAAAACGGAACCCTTATAGGATCACTTTGTTGTCCGTCCGTCCGTCTGTCAAGACCCTTTATCTCGAGAACGCGTGAACGTATCAAGCTGAAATTCACATGAAATACTCAGGTCTATTGTCCTTTTAAGCTGTGAAAATATCAAACTTCTAAGCTAAGCCAATCAAAAGATACAGCCGATTATGTCGATATTTTCAACAAATTTTCGACACTCGCAAAGGAATCAAAACCTACAGGATACTTCCCGTAAACTCAGAATCTTGAAATTTGGCATAAAGCATTGTCATATAATGCAAATATAGGAAAAATTGCGAAAATTACATTTTTTTAGTTGTATAATATAATAAAAATATTTTAATAAAATGAAACTTACTACGTTATTTCTCACGAACGAATAAAGGTATCAAATTGAAATTTATACCAAATACCTAGATCTATTGTCCCTTTAAGAAGTAAAAAAATCAAACTTCTAAGTTAACGCGATCAAAAGATACAGCAGTTTATACCGACACCTTAGACGAATTTCCGTCACACGCTAGGGAATCAAAACCTACAAGGTACTTCCTGTGAACTCAGAATCTTGAAATTCGGCACGAAGCAACGTTATATAGTACAGATAAAGGAAAAATTGCGAAAATGATAAATTTGAAGTTATATAAAATTTAAAATATTATTTTTGCTTACATGACATAAAATATTTTTTTAATAATTATAAACTTACTACCTACCCTTTTTCACATGAACGCGTAGAGATATTAAAGTTGAAATTCATATCAAACACTTCTTAAATCTAATTGCCTCTAAACTGTGAGAAATTCTAAATCAACGCAAAAATTCAAAACGCTGAGGTAGGTACCTACCTATAATGCAAATATAGGAAAAATAAATAAATAAAAAATAATCATACCGCATATTTTGAAATTCGCCACTACTCGCAACGGAATCAAGTAAGTGATTTGATTTAATACGTCATAAATTGTAAACCGCTACGTTTGTACGGCGGAACCCTCGGTGTGCGAGCCCGACTCGCACTTGGCCGGTTTTTTTTTAATAGATAGAGTGATTCAAAAGGAAAGTTTATGTCTATAAAACATACATATTAAAGGCGAGAAAGGCCGAGAAATTCCGGGGTGGGCCGCTAGTTTTAGATATATGAAATAAGTAAGGCTAATTTATGTCTGTCATCAAAATGGTTACATCGTACGTTGTTTATATCCAATGCATCATCAGATGGTAATAAGCAGAACCAGTTTTAATCCAAGGACCTGTATGTAATCAATCTGTATCAAAAAATATCACCATTTTTGCTTTTACCTACCTAAATAACCGACACCAGAATAGAAGCCAACGATCGACGCTAGTCAGAGCAGGCGACGCGACTCATCCCGCCGCGTCACGCGGAAATCCAGACTTTGCCTAACTAGCCTGTCGGGTGTCGTACAACACTCCAGAAAAACTCCACAAATTGGAACTTGGAATCTGGTTTGGTGTAACTTCACACAGATCTATTTTAGGGTTCACTTTGCAATGTGAGCAATCCAAATTCTGATTTAAGAAAGGTATCAGTAGAGTGATTATTTAAAAGGATATTTTAATTTTTGAATATTAACTTTGGTATCTGCATCTTCCTGCTGTGGCTATTAATTTTATCTTCAGAAAGTTAACAGTTCTTTTTGTCGTGTCGAAAACAAACCTACACAGTGTCAGCCCAGAACTCCGCAACAAAAGTGGCGTTGTTAGTAGCCTTCATTATTATCTAACAGTTAATGACATACCTAAGTTAAAACCTGATAATGTAAGAAATAACCTAGAGAACGTCACCAATGCTTTTTACAGACTACAGTTGCGGGTTCCTAGACACAGCTATACTGCGAGCTTACTCAACGTTTACTCCTAGGTATTCCTTGGAGGTAGGCCAAACTTTATGGGTATCAAGAAGTTGCAGTGATGGGAACCAGAGATGGGATTGGTTCTGTATACTCACGGCAGGTTGTCAGCTATCCAGCTGCAGTAGCAGCTCATCTTCACACCCACGCCGACGTGGTCTCCGTCGCACTCGGCGCCTCCCACTGTCACCGCCACCAGCTGACCGTGGCGAATAGCTGGAGCCCCAGAATCTTCCTGGATTGTTGTGAATTAATATTATTACGTTAATTAATCAAGCACGAGTTCACTTTGAAAAGGCTTTAGACGCATACGATTTTTCCTTGTACTGGCCAGTAAGCAAAACTTTAGCAAAAATACCTTTTTATAAAACAAGCTTGCCAAGATATTTTAAACGCAACATTTTTGTTTTCTACACATACATTATTCCTGCACATTAATGCAATAATATTTTGCTTAGTGAAGAATAATCTTCTTAATGTGTTTTTTGTTTTTGTTTTTAGTTTTGTATTCCACTACTCATAAATAAAGTAAACATTTTCTTTGACTTACTTCAGTTATGTAATGTTCATCGCTCGAGTAACAAGCAACTTCGCCGTTCTCTAAAATAAAGTAAACAAAATAGAATAAGTGCGTGTTCATACACATAGCTTAGAGCGAAGCGGGAAGCTGAGCGTAGGCGGGCAAAATCAAACATCTGAATGTTTGATGATTTAAGGAGAGTCTACATTCCAGAACACATCTGTCCGAATGAGCAATGTCAAACGCTAAAATTGTTAAACCCTCTTATTATTTGACTCGTAAAAGTTGTGAACTTTGATACTATAACCATAAATAAGAAGTCACTTGGATATGAGACTTTATGTTCTTTCCCACCGTTCATTTATTTAGGTATGGCAAACTATACAGATATAGATATTCTAAGCCTCTTTTTGGCGCTAAGTCCATTTTAATTCCGCCTATGCCTTTTGTGAGCGAAAAATTACATACCAATTCTTCGCCCCGCTTCAAGCCCCGCTCGAAGCTGTTCATGTAAACGTGCCCGAATGTTATTTAAGAATTTGTTACATTTCGTACGATATCGGGGATTTTCCTCAAGTATATAGAATAGATATTATAATTTACTGATTTCGTAATGCGCGGGCAAATTGGATCCTTCAACAATCTTTTTACACGCCGCCATATTGACAAAGCCGAAGACTTCGACGGTGAGTTTGTTTTGCTGAAAGAAAATAACGATATGAATTACTTATAGAATTATTAATTAATTAAAATTCAATAAGTCAACAATATATTTGTTGCGTGAACTGATTAATGAATGGTACCAAAAAGAATAAGTTTCAGAATTTTATAAACTATCTTAAGATCCACTATTTGTTTAATTCTGGCATTAAAGCCACCTGGTAAAGTAGGTACCTATTGACATTAGAGCCCACAAACGCTGGCTTTATATTATACAACACGAACCAACAGTCCAAGCGGTTGTCAAAGGGGCTTGATTAAGCTTGACAGCTGACCACAACTATAGCCGACAGCGAATATAACCGCAACCCTGCGTTATTCTATCGGTATTATTGACGCATTAATAAACTAGCTATTTTAGAACAATTCAATTTGTCCTTGATAGAAATTGAACCTAGTAACTAGAAAAACTTAGGCTGAGTTGCACCATCTTACTTTAACTTTGCCAAACGTCAAAAATCTGTCAAACTACATACAAAAAGCACCGGTTATTTTTATTATTACGATTAAAAAGGTGGTGTAACTCAGCCTTAGAGATTTTGGCGATAAAATTACCGTCTGTGGATTTTATATACCTACATAGTATATATTGTTTATCGTGTGAATTATCACGTGTGAAGTATTAACTCTTTATTATTTTGAACATAATTTATTATTTTGTCATAATTATTGAGAAGCAGACTATACCAGACTATCCATGACCCTTCTCCAATTCTTGTACATGGTCTTGATGCTGTCGATAGGTTCTGAAGATGGACGAGTGACAAGGCGACCGCGAATGTATTTTTCAGCGCCCTCCTTTTTCAAAAAAATGCAAAATTGAATGTTAATTTAAAATCCAGTCAACAAGGGCCATTTTGTTACCTAAATTACTTTCTCCTATTATTTACGTTAACATTTTAGTTTAAATGTTATAGAAGTACTCGTGTTAAAGTGATTCACAATAACAACTTACCCGAATTATCTCTTGGGTTTCATAAGTTAAATTCTTTAGTTCCATTCGCGCAATTCGTGGGTTTGTTTCCTAAAACATAAATAAGTAAAAATATTTACAAGTAATGTGGCAGGACATAATATTCAAATTGGGAAGAAAATCTTGATACTGATTTTTTTTCTTTTAATTATGGACTCATCTAATAGTAATGTTTTTTTTATAATTTCAGCCAAAAATATCAATAAACCATAACAAAAAAGTTACCAAACTTACCACATTATCCTCGCTAGAAGTCAAATACCTACTCAGCCGTTTCGCCGTAGCCTCTTTCTTCGGCTCTACAAGTCTATCATCAATCTGCTTATTCCTCACTTTCTGCTGCAGTATCGGGTATTGGTGGAACAGGTCCTTCTGTACTGTCCTGGATTCAGTTTTGTACCTCGACTGTTGGGTTTTTTGAGGTACCGGTTTGTATCTTAATTGTTGGCGCAGGTTTTGCTTTGGTGCTGGATATTGCTTTTTCTGTTCTGGTTGGTTCTGGGGCGGTTGTGTCTGAAGAAGGAGTTTTTAAGTTAGTTTATTTTTAGCATTTGCAAAGTAACTAGGTACCAGCTCTTTAGATTACTTAACCATTGTAACACCAAACTTATAACCCCGACGACAGGCTAATAATATTACAACATCGGCAAACTAAATTCTGCAGATTCTCAATCTAGACATGATAATATGGCAAGTGAAATGTGGCAACAGGAGTGACCAATTGTGTCAACCGTACATCGGGGATTAATAAAGTTTTGTGTTTACAAATAAAAAGTGTTAGAAGATTTATTCTGTAAGAAGATATTGAACGGTGGAAGTGGTTTAAGTCATCTTGACCCTTTCACTCTGATTAAGGGCGAGAGTAGCCACTTGTCAAGTCTTGGTTATTATACTTTGATTGTTGTTATGGATATTTACCTTTTCTTGAGCTCGGGATCGTTTAGAGTTCAGGCCAGCGGTGACTCGAATTGGCTCTTGGTCCTGAAATACCATCAAAAGAGGTTTCTTAAGGACGAAGCACACTTATCGACCGGGAAACGGATCGTAACCGTATCAACTCGAGTCGGTTAATATTCTTTGTATGAAACTCCGTACTGTAACGCACACTTATCCGCACCGTAACGTAAACGAAAGGCGATACGGTGTTGACATCTTTCCGGGTTGATAAATGTGTGTGTCTTCTTTATAATTTTGTTAAGTTTTTATAAATAAGTTCAGTGACATGGGGTTACAAACTATGGGAGTAATTCTGTTTGCAGTAAATTTTAGTGGCAATGATAAAATTAATTTAGTCTTGCACATTTTTAATGAAAACTCACATTCAAATCCTCCGCTGAATCTTCTGGACAAGGCGCCGTAGTTGTCAAAAGCGAGTTCTAAGAACAAACATACAGTTAGTAGGATTTCTAGGAACGCTTCTTGATTGGCAATACACTATTTAATAGCACATAAAATAAAACATAGGGTAAGTCCAGGATAGATGCCCCACTTTTTGAAACAGCTCTGTAACTCAGTCAGTAAGTTTTTATCAACAATTTGACCTTAGTATCTGTAAACTTTGGTCTTTCGTCTATGATATTACTATAATTATTTTAGTTTAAGTTATACCGATTCTGAGTAAATAACATTTTAATGGACCTCTAAAAAGTGGGATAGACGCCTAATGTGNACTTGTTATTATTTAAATACTTAACAGATAGTATGTCGTAATTTAATACTTAACATGTACGAGTATGTTCAATGTTCATGCACAGAGATGTTTGATTATACGGGGACCGAATCCGCGACATCTGGCATAGAAGTCTAGTACACGAACGGGTCGCAGAATAAATTCAATATAGCACAGTACAGAACATTGTGGTAAAAAAATAGGGTCTTAATAATGAAAAATCAATTTCAAATCAACTTACATCCTCATCCTTGCAATGGCCCCAGCTGAAGACCGTCACATTCGAATCAACTGGATTCGACATTTTCTCTCCAGCCAATGGAATAATCTTCCCAGGCTTATCTGACGTCATCGCAGCGAAGGTATAAACTAAAGACAGGTCTGCAGTCCATCCCCTAAACTTTGGGTGGCTCAGAATCCTCTCGATAGGAAGGTATTGCTCGTATCCAGTATCGAACATCTTTTTTGTTCCTATGACCACGAATGAAGTTGTGAGCTCTGGTTTTGTACTGCTATCTCCTTTTTTGCAACTGAAAGAGCAGGATACTAAAGCTTTAGAAAAACTACCGCGTGCAGATCGCATCCGCGATGGCGATCACTGCTCGTGCATAGATCGCTGCAACCAATGATAGGACGCGTTGATGTGAACTCATCGCTACAATAATAATTCATACACTACATCTGATCGCCATCGCCATCGCTCACGCAGGCTGCACGCGTTGGTTTGGCTGAACCTTAATGGAATGAAATGAGAAAGGTTGTTGAATTAATGCATGAATGGTCTTTTTATTGGCTTGTGTAATAAATGAAAGGCAATGAATGACATAAGAGACTTTTTTTTATCACCGGAGTACTTCGTTCTGTATGAACTTTTTACGTAACAAAATTAAATGTAAACGTCAAGACAAAAATATTTTTCTGGTAATTAAAGATCTACTTTGTTACAAAGTATGATTTTTGAGTTTTGCTAGGTTTTATTGTGTGATTGATAATACAAGAGTAAGGCTGAGTTGCACCACCTAACTTGGACCGTAACTATGACGATAACCGGTGTTTTTTGTATGGAGTTTGACAGATTTTTGACGTTTGTCAAAGTTAAAGTAAGATGGTGCAACCCAGCCTAAGAAGGGTCTTTTAATTTACTTACAAACAGTGGGCAGCCGTAATCACCACGTTATCGTGTATAATTGCCCCGGTGCATGTTCGCTTCGACCCGTCTGTAAATACTATGCTGAAAACCATTATTATAATTAAATATCCATGCGAGAATAGATGCATAATTAGTATGACGTCATGACATTTGCACGTATATTCGTCATGATACGTTTAAGTCCGTTTGTTGTGGCCACGTAGGTATAACTCGACAACATTTACTTGAAATTGAAACCGATATCAAACTGGGTTTTCAGTTTGATAGTGGGTTTGGAATTTATTTATTTGTCCGGTTCTTAACATCCTGTATTTATTTACGCCTGTTAATACTTGAAGCATCTTTGTATTAATTAAACTATTTTTTAATAAATCTTCGAACTTATAGACGTGGCTAGGCCGTTTGAAACAATGGTATAAATTAATTTTAATATTAATGTTTGTAGTTCCCCGAACAATGGGCCAGCAAAATCAGCTGTAATCCTGAAATTTACGGCCAAAGTTAGCATTTCAGAGCTCATTTGGTATGTTCCAGGTAACATTTTTGGTTCACGAGATTTTGTAGCTTAACTGGTGTCAGTTGAATTTAAATACATTATGAAAACAGACCCAAAACGATTTATCAACTGCAACATTTAAGTTGTAGTATCAAATGAAAAGGTCACGAAATTATAAGAGAAGTTTGAAATTATATTGAAATAGTATTGTAGAAGAAACAACTGTTATTGAAGTTTTAGAAGATTATTTGATCAAAACTTAAAATTTTGCTATCTTAAAAATTAAAAATACTGACTCTATCAAGGCCACAAATGTGTGATCATCACGTACGGTACCATCGCCGACTTCTCTACCTGTAAAAACAAGTTTTCTCAAATTAGTAGATGGAAAACTACCAAATCACAAATGTAAAACACAGAATGTATCAGAATTAAAAAAGGTTTTAATGCAAATAAAAATTAGAGCAGGCGAACCTACCAAAACATTCTGAATATTTCCAATTATCTTTGAACTTCATATTTTTGGCATAAAGCCCGAAATCGTTGATAGTACGTTTTTATGCTGTGTGTGACAACAAAACCGCGCCGCAGCGTTCACCAAAAACGGTCAAAAAGTCCCAAAACGTACTCACTTTTTCCATTTAAACTGTCAGCATTCAGAAAACTGCAGTGCAATATTACACAAACAAAAGCGAATGCAAATGGCTGAAAAAACATTCTGGTAATAATTTCATTTCTGTTTTATGTAATGAAATCTGGGCAGTTAATTATTTTCCTATAATACGATAAGTCAACGTACCACCGGTTTGTTTGTGAGATTAACCGGATATATTTAATGAAGTTTTATAAAGAGCCAATTATTTGGACTGAAAGCGGTTTTAATTTGAACTCTAGATTACTCTAGTAATTAATATTAAAATAAATCTTTTCGCAAATATGTGAATGTAACTTTACTGGTAGAAAAACTGTAAAAAATGAACTCCTCACTTAAAATCTGTGTCAACTTTTTAACACATAAATGTATATTTTTAAAATGTAATAAGAAGTTCTTTGTAGGCATATTATGACTTGACAATTGTATCACAAACCTTAGTTTTGAAGGAATAGATAAAAAGCAAAAATAGATTTGTATAAATAAGACATCACTTATTTGATCGTTTGCTGATATGAATACATCTTCTGAACTTAAGTCGGCACTTCAAAACACAAACGTTATTACACACAGATCTACAAACTACAAACATATAGGTACACATAATCAAAAACATCACTCGTACGTAACATGTAATCATATAAATGCTAACCACAACTGAACAGTTTCACGGCAATCGAACTGGATGCCAGCGCAATTGGAAACTAGACAAAGACTGTTTTGGTTGTAAACAGTTAATGGAAATGCCTGTAATAGTTCCAGAAGATACCCACATATAGAAGCTACAATACGAGTAAAGTTAACCTCGACTATTTCCTAGAAACATTTTTACCATTTGATTTAATTACCTAACAAAACTTGCCACTTAAGAAACTATCGTTTGCCCATGGCTCACCCCGTGTATTCGGTTTTCGCTTTTCTTCTTTCAAATACCTGAATAAAAACAATCCTATGTTTTTCCTTGGGTCACATAGGTACTATCTCTATACCAAATTTCAACTGAATTAGTTCAGTGGCAAGCGGCACATTGATAATATTAGTATGGATGCCCAATGCCCGTGAATCCGCTTTATTTCGAAATTTATTATAACGCATACAGTAAATAACAATAAGAATAAAAACTGTCATAAAGGAGATAGCTGTTTGCCTCTAAATAAAAGAGAACCTTGTTATTCCATAGCTGGTCCACGGAATGAAATAAAAGAAATAATGGCTGGTATCTTCCACAATGGACGTTTGTCGGCTACGAACGAATGGGCCATAGAGCGGCCGTTAAAACACGACTATGCTCGCACGTAGTATCTATCGTAGAACGGTTTAAATGGACTGTGTATTTTCGTAGCACTGTAGATAGTCGTAGCCGCGCGCCTACGAAGTGTTTCGTAGGTGCTACAAACACAATGGTATTTCGTAGTTAAGCTAAAGGGAGTTTTGTGTTCTGCTAAGGAGTTTCTTTACGGCTAGACATTTCGAAATATTCACTATCAGTATTATTACAAACTCAAGGCTTATAACTACCCGTGATGATCAAAATGTACGGGGTATTTTTATTTAATTCTTTAAGATGATAAATTTGCCTCAGTATCAGAATTAAATTATAATTTTGAAAGTGAAAGCCACCAGGCGAGACGCTTAGAAATAATTTGTGGAAAATAAGCGCAAAATTTACTGCCCGCGACTCTGTGGAGTTGAATTTATTGTGCGCAGCGCAATCCTGGAATGCTAAGCAGTCGTCGCAGTGCAGGCCTGTAGACATACACCTTTACTGTCTAACTTTAACATAAGCCGCAATCGCTTTCAAACAGATAGCTTATGACTCTGATAGAGATTTCATAAATAAATGATATAATAGCCATCACTTTGAAAGGTGCTTACACTTTCATTCCATTCAATGTCAGTCCTAGCTCACAATCCTTTTAATCCTTAGAATAGTGTCGGCAATATTTTTGCTTGACATCAGCATACGTTAAAAAATCAATTCGTTACAAAAGGCGAATAAGAATCCTAACCACTATTAATGACTGTTTGAATGTGATTGAAGATAGCGTTATTTCAAGTAGAATTAAAGCCATTGCGGTGTGACAAAGTTGCAATATGAACGTACAAATTGCTATCAGAAATATTTTGTAGTTATGCAATGGGCGCCCCGAAGCAATCTTTGTTTGACTCCTTCGAGAAACTTCTGATTGCACGCGTGTTTTGTTTGAACGAAATCATGACTTGTTTTGAATGCCAAATACCTTCAGAAGAAAATGCAAGAGCATTTCAAACATGGGGTTTACATAATTTTAAATTCTAAATGAGTTTTTTCCAACTTTCAAACGAGTTGAAGAAACTTGTAGACTAGAAAAAAACTTTGTAGACATTTGGGAAGAGGAAAGTAAGTCAAACTGAAACAAAGCAATTAAGTTACGTCAAAAACAGACGCAAGAGTGTTTTAACTAGTTTTCCTCAACTAGCTCTTAAGGAAAAAGTAATGAGCTACTTAGTTAAGGGTGGTTAATATTATAAAATGAACTCGCAAACTACATAATGTCATGGATAGCTAAGAAGAATAAAGTAAAAGTTTTTAGTAAGTATTATATCTTTATAACTCTAAATAAAAGCTATCAAAATGGATTTGTATGTACCTCGTTATAATTAACTGCATTTACAAATTAAAAAACATTACTAAGACAGACTTCTTTTAAAATTTTGCTATATTTCGTAAAAATGACGTCTCACTAACCCCTGAGGACCGAAACTTGTTTCATGCAAGTGGCAACACTTACCCTAGTTTTTCTCCGACATTTTATAACTCCCATTTCTAAGCACACCATTGGGAGTAAGGGACAGACCATAACGGGCACCTTAAATCCTGCAAAAGCATAAAGCTGTAACGACCTTTGGCGACTATTTGCGTTGACGCGGGCAAGAATATACGGTGGCGTGTCGCCAAATATTGCTACACCGTTGTTTGCTTCCGAATGTGGGTACCGGAGTTACCGGTAACACCGGAATTACCAGCCGGAATGGGCACGAAAATAAACCCTAATTTTATGGCGGTTACCAAAGATTTAAATCGGCAGATCGGGGCATTGCGCCAAAAAAGTTTACCCCGCTGTAATGAATACGTGGTGTTTTACAAATAGTTTGTGTATTGGCGGCCAAGTTTAAGAAAACTGCAGTTTGCGTTGCTGTAAATAGAAAATAAGGATGCGTAAAGGCTATGAATTAGGACCCGGATAGCATGGCGTGGATTCTGCAGTATTCGGGTGACAATAACGGAATAAAACTTCTCACCCCAGTGGGTTTCATCGTAAAAAGACTATGCAGTCTTAGCAAAAGTATATTGTTGCAATTCACGAAGGCGAGTGAGCTCGGTACTGTTCGTTTTTCAAAAGTTTTGATAAACATTACATGACATGACACTATTGTTATTACTAAAACTCACTCGCCTTCGTGAGTCACTAGAACTTAGAGTCACTTTCATAAGAAATCATAGGATACACTACTTTCATCCTATAATTTACTGTTTATTAATAAGCACAGAAATTAAAACAATAACATTCTCTTTACTCGGTATTATGTTAGTTATTCGCCTGACTGACTTTGACTGGATTGCATGAAAAATTCTTTTTTTTTACAAAAAAAAGGAAGCTTTTATGTTTAACCTAGGTCTAAATCAAATAATAGTTCAGCAGTTAAGGCTTGAAAACTTTACAGACAACCAAAAAAGCGACAGAAAACTTTCGCACTTAAGTATAATACTCGTAATAATAATTTATTATTCAACAAACTAAACTACTAAGGTAGCAGATAGTTACCTATTTGTCAGAGATTGTTATACCGTATTTCACTAGCAAAGGCGTCTCCAACAATCTAATTCCATGGCGTCAACTCCCATATACGCTCCTATGAGGCTATGAGTGCGTTGTAATTCAGAGGGCGTTGTTGCTTTCAATTACATTGTTTAAACCCAGCTGTCACTTAATTTTAGGTTAACTATGGTTAACTAACATCTGCTCAGGTTTGTATTGCGGAATTGTTTTGTCCATTCAGTTATATCTTTGGCTTAAAGGACATCTTATTAACGTTAATGAGGTAAAGCAAACTACCTTTGGGACGATTACCTTTTATTTTTGCCGCTATTAAGAGAATGGGCAATATAAACATGTTTGTGCTACCGAGGCATGTTCATTTTCTATTGGCTATCTATCAGAAAAAACAACAAGTTTAAATAATGAATACGCTCAAAAAATGAAGTCACGGGCCGTATTCGGTACCAAAGAATATAATTAACCTATAGTTTATTAGACGTATTACTACACAAGGCTTTATAATTAAAAAACATTAATAACACCTTATTTTCCCATTCAAATCGTAACAACTAGTAAAAAAATAAATATTTTTAAGAAAATTTTTTTTTTTGTTGATTTGTATGTTTACAGCTGGTGTTATTTCTCATGACTGAAAATTATACATTTTCTACTTTATTAAATACTATTCAAAACAACACGTTATTATCATTAACTACTTTGTTTACTAATAACAAATATACATAGTTCAGCTAAAAAAAAGGTAGGTAGAGCATAGACTCTATAGAGCGCTTCATAGGAAAATACAATATGATAGCTATGTACGTTTAGTCCAGTCAATAAAGCATTATAGATGGAAATCCGTGGAACACAATTTCTGACCTCGGGACTTTATTTAGACTAGT